GCGATAATTCTGATAACGTTAATTCTAATAGCGATTCAGAAAAATCAAAAGTCAAAGAATTAATTAAATATTCTGAAGGATTTTGTAGTAGTATTAAAGAGGTTAAAAAGAAATTATCACTTTTAGAAGATAAAGAAGATCCAGTTTTAATTAGATCTTTTAGAACGAAATTTAAAGAGAATATTAGAATTTTATTTATTTATCTTGAATTTAGTAAGAATGGAGTTAAAAAAATTCCCTTAAAACAATTGATTCTTTTTTATAATCTAATAGATTTAACTAACAAAAATGTTGAAATTGAAGAAGAAGATAGTGAAATTGAAGAAGAAAAAAATGATGAAAATTATGATATCAATAAAAAATTAAAAAATCTAAAATCTTACAGAAATAAGGTTATTAAAATTATAAATAATCGATTGGATGAGCCTCTTATGTATTTAGAAAAAAATCTTTTTTTAAATTTTACTTCAAATCCAGATTTATATAAAAGATTTATTAAGGATAATGAAACAAAAGAAGTAGTGTTTAATAATATTAAAAAATTTTTTGAAACAGAGTTCAAAAAATTTAAAGTTTTTATTTGTCCAGAAACACCTAAAAATTTTAATGAATATATAGATTTTAAAATAGAACTTTCTAAGAAAATAGATCTCTTGATACATGCTATTGGTAATATTTTCATAACATTTATAGAAAAAGAAGAGAAATTTAAGGAAGAAGATAAAAATTTAAAGAATTCAGATCTTTTTAAAAATAAAAATGCTTTAAAGTTAAAATATCCAATTAAGAGTTTTAATCTAGATGATATTAGAAATAATTTAAATTGTAAAGATAATGATTTATTTAATATTTGTTTTAAAAATGGTTTGGATGAAGAAAAATTGAATGAGTATGAGAAAAAAGAAGATAAAATTAGGGAAAAATTAAAAAGTAATTAATAACTTTAGATTATAATTAAACCAAATTTTATCATTTTTATCTTTTATTTTAACATTGTTTCTTGTTTTTAAATGAATAAATTTCTTCTAAAACTTTTAGAACATTTAAATATGAATTTTGTGTTTAAAATAAAACATATTAAACATCATTGTGTTTAGATCTGAAAATAAACTAAATATGTTTTTGTTAATATTCTTTGAAATGTTTTAATAAACGTTTAAAGAGTTTTTAATTTATCAAATTAAAGATATGATTGAAGATAAGAACCTAAGAGAAAATTATAAGTAATAATAAGATGATTACAGCATAGGAATGTGTTTAACAAACAGTGATTCAAGTAAAAATAAAAATTTTTATCCACTAAGTGTTAGGGTATATTTAAATATTAAAAAAACAATAATAGATTTTTAAAAAATTATACATCATTTATTATAATAATTAATAATATTACTAATTTACATAAATAGTATTTTTTTATTTTTAAACCAATTATTTTAACTTCTTTTTTTATAACATACAAACTGAACTTTCTTCAAATTTTTTTTTCATATAATTTAAACCAGTTAAAGGTTTTAAATATATAAGATATACAATCATATTTAATTTTTCCCATGT